GCAGAGATATTATGCAATATCTTAAAATCTAGCCCGGTGACATAGGCTGAAAGAAAATCATATAATGTTAATGATAGGGTACATTTTGTTGTTCTGAATTATTAAAAAAATCTGGGTTTTAAAAAGTGTAAAAAAATGCAATTTTTCATTAACATTGTGTGTTCTATGGAATTGTTCTAAAAATAGCAATTTTCAAGAAATATTAGAACACGTTTCTCAAAAACACACAACATAATGCTATTTCACCGTACCACGGGACATTTGCTTCATGATTGTACATAATAAACTAATTAACATTGTCATGCGATTTATGACCAATTTTGTCAAAAATTATGATTAGGTTTCTATGTTTTGGTGTATCAAATCGACATCTCCCAGGAACACATAAACCAGTTTGAATCAGACCAAAACATCACGTGTGTCTTTTAGCGCATAAATCAAATATATTAACAAAATTGCTCTTCCCCCACCTAAAAATGGACTCCTTCAACTCAAAACTAGTATAATGATTTACAGACATAGATACATGAGTGAGCTTTGGAAAATCCCAAACGTCACCAGTGAAATGACTGCAGTTTCCGGAGGTCGGATGTCTGTTTTTTGTATCATATCAAAATTCGGGTCATTTAATTACATCGATACACTTAGTTACTGTGGGTACGAAACAATGCAGATTTCGTAGACGAATATTCTCATCTGTCCGAATCGGTTCACCTTAGTTCTATACGGAATATTTTAAAGTTGTTTGGCGTTTCCCTTGCCGACTTTAAAGACTGTCACAGAAAGTTCGCGAAAACAGCAGCAAACAAGCGTACAATGAAGCCCCCTCATGCACGATATTTCGTTTGTATTTTTTTTTTCAAATGCAATTCATTGTTGCTCGAAAGGCGGTGGGAATTGGAAGATTAAATACTATTGGACAATCTATAAGCGCTCTCCGCGAACTTGGACCCTAGGATTCATCATTAGACAAATACAGTACGTGATTTCCGGTTAAATAAGATTCGGACAACCACAGTGTTGACAACTTCCTGCTTAGATGCTTTGATTTATAGTAATTTTAACCTGTCTAGGGAGTCTAGTAAAACATTTTTTCCCCGCAGTTTCCACATATCTATTTGAATGGTTTCGCAATATTAGTGTAATATTATCATTTATTAGTGTCATTTCCGTCGAAAGCTGATGCTTGTTCACTTGCCTCTATAGCTTGAAATAGTTTATACCAGTTTACCAAGTATACATATATGTACATATTGAACGTCATAATGACTAAGACATCAAAGTCAATGCTCCATGTTGCACACCCACCAGCAAATAACTTACTGAACCAACCAACACCGTCCTGTACATATGCAATAGAGGGGGGATATGTTCACAGATATTTTATAATAAAAATATTTGCATTATGTTTATAATAAAGAAAATGACAAAATATAAAGCAAGGCATCATCGGTATTCCATAATAACAAAGTCCAAAATGACAGGTGGTTATGCCACATTAAAATCGCCTTCCATCGACCATTCAACATAATCTGCTACAATTTACAACACGTATAATACAAAGTAAATATGTTCATTCACAGTTCTGAATAAATATTTCAATGCAAAATGTTATAGCTATAAGACCGACTTTTAAGGTTTCTGTCGCCATTAAAATGAGAATTTTGTTTATGTTTGAGTTCAACCATAACAAATAATTTTACATTTTGTGCTGTTTTTGGAGTAACTTGCTGATTTATGTGATTTTTTTCGGCTGTTGCATATCGATGAACATATCTCTTTACTCCTGTATTAAATTATCAGTAGATGGACGTTTTTTAGGGGAAGGGGTTGTGCACTGATCGAAGATTCAGTAGGTAATGACTTGTTTGTTTATTGGTTCATGGTATTATGAGGCTGGGCATTGCCTTTATTATTAAAGCTAAAACCTGGCCCGTTTTTTATATTCCTCGCTCATTCAGAGTTCAGTCCTAAATAACTCGATTTTATTTGTGACGAATACTAGTACGCATGCGCCGCATGCACGCTAGCTGAGTCGAATCTTATGTACTAGTATTATACTATTATATATAATATCATAAACACTTGGACACTATTTTAATTTATTTTATTTTATTCTATTCTATTCTATTTTATTTTATTTTATTTTATTTTATTTTATTTTATTTTATTTTATTTTATTTTATTTTATTTTATTTTATTTTATTTTATTCTATTCTATTCTATTCTATTCTATTCTATTCTATTCTATTCTATTCTATTCTATTCTATTCTATTCTACTGTACAAGGCAGAATTTGTTACGTCGGAGAAAAAAAAAGTTACTCACACAGGAAAACTTATGAGACGGAAGTGGAAAGTCATAAACAGCGCGACAACATGGTTTTGATGAACAAACGTGAGGTGTACAGGTTTAAAGGGCGGCAGTCGTTGCGCCGCGTCCTGTTCGATATGGGACTCATAGCGTCGTACACAACGCGTGTAAAATACATTGTTTATTTACATGAAATTCGAACACGCGCTGCGCGACGACCACCGCGCTTTAAGGCATAGCGGTGGTCGTTTTCTAATGGAAATTACAAGCATGACTTTTGACCTGGGCGCGACGCACACTAATTAACGCGAGGAAAGCCTTCGATACCTTCCAAAAAAAAGTGTTCTACGAAAAGATTCATGAAAACTAGCTTAACGGATAAATATATGAGATATCATTCCATGATAAATATAGCCTTGTAATAATCAATTCACAAAACAAAAAGATGTGCATGAATAGCCCACGATGTGTCATGCCAAATTTGAAATCGGCAAAAGCTTGTCTGAGAAACCGTCCATGTACCAAATTTATACCAATTCTGTAAAGATATATCCGAAGAACAAACACTACCAGTTGCAGTGGCCATTTTGAATCAAATCGCAAAATGACGTGCATCATTAAGATTCGTGACTAATTTTAAGTTTTTTTTTTTTTTATTTTCTGGACCTAAATCAAAATATCCAAATAATAGTGTAAGTCACAGAATGAAATGTTTAGAAGAAAAGTGATAAAAAGCATACACATTATATCTCTCAGGATCTATCGAGTTGGTTGTATTGATTTCGATTCCGGCAACTTAGCAGTTCAAAGATTACAGCACATTGAATAAAAAATGTCAGGATTGAATGAAACCGGAAAAATGTGTCAGAGAAACTGTTGATGTTCAAATGGGGATCTTTGGTGTACTACAAATAGACCCAGGATAGTATATATTTTTAGAATCGTCAGACTTCAAGCTTTTCAAAGGTGTGTTTGTCATGCCCATATCTGCATTCTACGGTGCGTTACTTAATCAAAAGTGAAAAATTACTTTTGTTGTAAAATAATAATTACG